GGCGTAGGCGGCCGGAGGCTTGGCCACGTCCTCCAGCTTCTGGATGACTTTGGCCTTCAGGGCGGCCACAGGGGAAGCGCGGGGAGATGGCGGTGGGCTCATGGCCTTGCCATAGGTGCCCGAGGGGCCCGTGGCCAGGCCAGGGGGCTTCCGAGGTAACAGCCCAGGGCCAGCGGTGGCCAGGCTGGCCTTGCCCGAGGCCTCCAGGCTCCGCTTGCTGACTCTCTCCTCCATCTCCACCCGGTGCTCCTGGGCCTTCAGCCGCTCCTGCTGGGGAGGTGGCCGGCAGGCCGGGTCAGCACAGCAGGGCCCATCACCCTGCTCCCGAGGGCCCCCAGCCCACGGAGAACCTCAGGCAGGGTCCGGGGAGCAGGCCACCCACCCCGCCGCCAGCCCAGGGTGGACATTCTGTTGCAGCACGCGTGTAACAAGCACAGTATTCCTTATAGAACCCCAGGCGACAGAGCTGGGGGCCTCCAGCCCGGACCCTGGCCCTGCTGGGATCCTCACAGGGAGGGGTGACGGGAGCCAGGGCAGAGGTGAGGCTCCCAAGGATGAAGGAGCCACCCTGCTCCCAGCACCTCCATGGCATCTAGTTACAGACACCGAGAACTACAGACAACTCACTAACTGATGAGCGCTCTCCTGCCTTACCGCATTCTGATCTTGAAACAGAAAAGTGGGCAGGGCAGGCCTTCTCCTGTGTTTGATGGCTTTTGAGGAAATCGGAGGGATCTGGCTCAAGGGCATCCAGCGTTCATGGGGCCTGGCAACCCACACACATACACACTGGGAAGAAATGCTCCAGGAGCCAGCCACTCACGAATATTCAATCTCCCTGAACAACCCCAATGACACAGGGATGGCTAGCAGCTCCCTTTCCCAGAGAAGGAAACTTGAAGCCCAGAGAGGTGCAGCCACTTGTCCAAGGGCACACAGCCAGATGTGACAGAGCTAAGGGTCAAACCCAGAGCGCTGGTCTGCTGCATGTGCCACCTAGCCAACTCCTCCTCAGTGGCTGCTGCACAAGGGAGAAGGGACAAGACCAAGCAGGACAGACATCCCAGAATGCCATCAAGGAGGCAGGAAGGCAGCGGGCTTTGGGGAGCCGATTTTATGGGATTAGCTAACATGGATGTCAGAGGCCAGCCGCGGCTCCATGAGAGCCCTGGACCATCAAGTGGGCAGCCAGGCCAGGCTGGGCTGGGCTTAGGACACAGAGGAGCCCACTGGGATCCCTTCACTGTCCCATCCAAACTTCCCCAGTTCACAAAGCCACCTCTCCTGCCTCAGTTTCCCCATTGTTCCCTGCACCGACCCTGCCAAGCTCTGTCCACCTCTGGGCCTTGCTCACACTACTGTGCCCTGTGCCCTCTCCACAATTTACTCCTTCAAGTTTCTACGTAAAAGTCACCTCCTCCAGGAGGCCCTCCCTGACCACCAGCCTCCCTCCCTTTTTCTCTCCGAGAGTCTATAATCGTTTGGAGTTCCTGCTGGTTGACTCCAATAGGGAGAGGGGTCTTCACTGTCCCCACAGACCCCTGTGACTGCCCCACCCCAACTCACCACCAGCTGGGCACTCCTCTGCAGCTCCAGGGCCTGGGCAGCCTGCTGCTGCAGGTACAGGAATTCCTGCTGCCGCAGAAAGTGCTGCTGGGAGAAGAGCTGCAGCTGCTGGGCATGGTGCAGGGAGCTGCGGCCCGGAGGGTACAGGGCTGGCCAAAGGGGTGGCACCGCAGCCCGCTCCATCAGCTCCGCTGGGGGGAGACAGACAGTGAGACTGCACCCACCTGACACCATCGCCCCACTGTACAGGTGGAGAAGCTGAGCCAGAGAGGGGACCTTCACACAGGGCCCTGTCCACACCCCACCCAGGACATCCCGGAGGCCTTGCATCTGGAGCGTGCCAGATGAGGACTCTCAACTCCTTCCCCCATTACACCCAGGAGCCTGCCAAGTGGGTTACAAGGAAGAGGAGCACTGAGGTGGGGGGGTGTCCATGCCCCAGCAGGTGGCCCTGCTTTGGCTCTCCACATGGTTTCTGGACAGGAGTTTATCACAAGGACCTCTGTGGTTTATCACACATGGAAACCACGGACGGACATCAGAAAGTCCTTTCTGAGCCCGTCTGCCTACCACCTGTTCTGCCGGGGAGACCCCCTCCCAGCAGGAGGCCCTGGCATTTAGGACAGTCTCCCTCTGGGTGAGGCCACCACTTACCAAAGTGAGGCAGGTGATCGCTGGGAATGACCACCAGCTGACCTGACTGGGGGTCCCTGACAAACTGGTAGGCTGATGGCAGGGAGCCCCCCAGGCCAGGTGGGAAGGCAGGCGCCATGCCCTGATGCAGAGACGGGGGACCCAAGCCTAGGAGAGACCCAGGCCCAAGTCAGTGCTGGTAACCCTAGGCCCAGCCCCTACCCTGCCCACTCCTCAGACCCTCACCTCTTGGGGCCTCCCTGGGGGGTGAGGCTGGCTCATTGTCTGAGCACGGGTCCCGGCTCTCCCACCCACGGTCCCATCCCTGCACCAGCTCCAGCAAGAATCACATGGGGCTACTCTGTCCCCATCGACTGCCCCACCCCTCCCACCAGATAAGGGAGAAATAACCCCACTCACCATAGGGGTGTCCAGCAAGCCACATGGAGGTGCTGCCTGAACGGGGCAGCCAGGGGTGAGTGGCCAGGTGGGCTGCGGGGTCGGCGGACCAGCGACCTGAGCCTGCCAATGCTGGGCCCCCGGTCACCATGAGGTTGGGGTTCAAGCCATTAGCAGCACAGCTGGTGGGGTGTAGCCGGGCCAGGTCGGCCAGCTCCTTACTTTCTCTGGAAGGAAACAGAGTCATCAGCAACAGCCCAACGGCCCCAGGGACATCGTTCCAAGTAAGCGGTGGACAACCAGGCCACTGTTAGGACAACACCGCACCCACACTATAGAGCATGTGCTCAGACTCAGAAAAGGGTCCCCAGGGCCCTCCCCTGGAAAGGGGCTGTGGGGTCCAGCAGAGTCCCCCGGCCCAGGGTCAGGGTCCTAGGTTAGGGAAGCTCCCACGCAGCTCAGCACCATGGGCCCTGTGGTCAAGGGGCCATGCCCATCTAAGGTCACCCCAGCCACCCCCTCCAAGACGGGGGAGTCTCCCAGACGCCGGGCCCTGCTGTCCCCAAGCCCTCACCTGAGCAGCTTCTCCTGGTCCCGGTCCAGCCGCGCCCCCAGCAGCCTCTCCTCCCGGTGCCGGGCCCGCTCATCCCCACAGTCCTCATCGGCCCGGCCATGTCCTGCAGGGAGTCGGCAGGCAGTGAGCCCCAGTCCAGGGGCCCCCAAAGTCCTCCACGTCTGACTGGCTCCTTCCCCCTGGAAGGCCTGCCCTCATGACGCACCTGCCCCCCCAAACCCCGCCAGGCATCCTCTGTGCCAGGAAGGGACCCTCCATCGCCCCGGAGAGCCTCTCTGTAGCTCGCACAGGTANGGGGGAGTCTCCCAGACGCCAGGCCCTGTTGTCCCCAAGCCCTCACCTGAGCAGCTTCTCCTGGTCCCGGTCCAGCCGCGCCCCCAGCAGCCTCTCCTCCCGGTGCCGGGCCCGCTCATCCCCACAGTCCTCATCGGCCCGGCCATGTCCTGCAGGGAGTCGGCAGGCAGTGAGCCCCAGTCCAGGGGCCCCCAAAGTCCTCCACGTCTGACTGGCTCCTTCCCCCTGGAAGGCCTGCCCTCATGACGCACCTGCCCCCCCAAACCCCGCCAGGCATCCTCTGTGCCAGGAAGGGACCCTCCATCGCCCCGGAGAGCCTCTCTGTAGCTCGCACAGGTAGCTGGGCGCCGTGGGAAAACATCAGAAAACCGGTCACGTGATAACCTGCCGGGAGACCGCGGGGGTTCGCTGCACTACCTACTACTCTAATGTCAGCAAGGCAGGCGGGGGGGCCACGGGGCAGTCAAGGTAGAGGGGAAACCACAACCCAGAAATGAGGCCGGCGGTCAGAAGCACAGCCAGACGCAGGTCACGGGCAATCAGCTGCCACCCTGAGGTCCTGCCACAGTTCTTTCGTTACAGGCATGTGGCTAATCTTTTAACAATCAAGACAGAAAGTAAAACCAGAGAACGCTGTCCACGCAGGGTGAGAGATGTGGGAGCTGCCACCTACTTCCCCGTCCTGCCCCGGGGCACAGCAGGTGCCCCTCTACCCGTGGCTGGTTCAGCTTCATCTTCTGTGAGCTCCCTGCTCCCCCAGAGCAGAGAAGGTGGGTCCCCAAGTCCAGCCTGGCACATGCGCGGAGGGGGGCCGGAACGCCCCCTGCCTGCACGGTCCACCATCCCCTGCCCCAGCCCCGTCTTGGGTATTCTCCACATCCTGAGCCAGAAATTGGTGCCCTGCAGCAGCCCTTGGCAGGCCAGGGCATGGCAGACGGCGGTCGCTGGTGGCAGAGTCCACGCAGCAACTGGCTGAGACTTGTCGTGAAGGAGAGCCCAGTGAAGCTCAACTCAGAGTCGGTCTCTGGGGCTGGTGTCCTCCGACCCACCCAGGGCTGCTATGGGTAGCAGGTGGGCACTAGCCCAGGACCCCACCCACAGGGCACACCCACCCATCCTCAGGATCCTGTGAACCTCAGGCAGCCTTGGCCCCCAAGACACGGCCCTCTCGGGAGGTGCGCTCAAGGAAGAGCCTGCCCCAGCCCCTGGCACACAGATGTCACTGCTCTGCTGGAGACGAGGTCCCCACCAGGGTCCACTGGAAGCCCGACCCTCGTGGGCAAGGATCCCATTTACAATGCTGCCACTGCACCTCTTCCCCTCATTTCTCCCTTTCTGCAGCCCCCAAACCAGGAGCTGACAAAGAACAGAGCCCCAAGAGAGGTTCAGGAAGGTGGGAGCCCGCCAGCCCCAGTCAAAGGCGAGGAGCTGGGAGAGGGCACAGTGACATGCCCGACAGACCAAGGATGCCAAGGGACAGGCAGGTAGCCGAGCATTGGGGAGAAGGCGTGTCCCTCGAGGCAGTGGGCCACCTGGGGAGCTGGCCTGAATGTTCTGGAAGTTCTGGGGAGTTCCAGGCCCACGACAGGGAAGCACAGAGCAAGTTCAAGCAGGGAAAAGCCAGCGCGTTGGGGCAGGAGCGGGGGAGGCAAGGGGAAGAGCTGTCCTGTCTTCCCAGCTTCCTGCCCTGCCCTCATGGGACACAAAGGAGCATCCCTGGCCACCCACTATGTCATTTCACACAGGCTGAGGTCGGCAAAGACACTGGGCAGACACTCCATCCACACTGGAGTGAAGTCACCACACTGTCCCCAGCACGTGGCAGGCAGGGGAGGGAGCAAAGCAGAGGCTGGCGGTGGGAGGGCGATGCAGCCCAGGTAGGTGCCCCCAGCCTCCAACATCACTGTGGTTCCCATCCCATCTGCGAAGCTGGAAGCGACAGGCGCTCCCTCCCAGGGCTGCTGGGGGATATGGTGACGAGTTCTGTGTGAACACAGCGACCTAACGGGGTAAGGACAGTGTTCCCGCAGGGCTGCCTGCTCACGGGGCTGACTGAGCTTGTCTGCTGGGCGCAGGCGCTATTGTCTGGGACTCTCAGGTGTAGATCATCTTAGTCTACCTCAGGGTAAAACCCCCCTGAAACCAGACCAGGCCCTGAGGACTCGGGGGGCCTTTCTCCAGAAGGATCTAGGGCTCACAGACATTATAGAACATTTAAGATCCTAACACCTTGAATGTGAATGGAAAAGGCAGACCTGTTTATGAAGCACCTACTCTGTGCCTATCAGCCCACCTGGTGTCAAGGAAGGAGGTGGCCCTTGCTCCCGCCACGTGGTAAAAGTGGAAACTGGGACCCAGGGGGCTTAGGCCTCTTGTTCAAGGTCACACAGCTGTAAGAGGCAGAGCCTGGATTCGAACCCCCGACAGGCAAAGGGCTTACTCCACAAAGCAGGAGAGGGGAAGAGACCAAGAGATTTGGGGTGGGTGACCGACTGCCTGGCCGGGGTACCCTGACTCCTCCTCTCCCTCAAAGGCCCAGACTGGGGAGAAACCTCTACTTCTTATGAGAGTTTATTTTAAGGAGAGGAAGAACTCAGCCACCTACTTTCAACTGTCAGCAGCAACAGAGAAAGGCAGCTTCAGACTAATCCCTGGAGGTCTCATCCCACACCTGCCACATGCTCCCTCTCACGCACTCACACACTCCTTGTCACACACACTGGTAAGCACATTCTCTCTCACACACACCCTCCCTCTCTCAGTCTCTCTCACGCACACACACTCACCATCCCATAGACACAGGTCCCTTGGGCAAGGGCAGGTACTCTGGGCTCCAGGGTGAGTCCTGGAGACCGTGTGCCCCCAACAGGGGTGCTACACTGTGTCACATGAGCGTTCTTTAAGGGAAAGGACCCAAAGAGATTCTCTGCCTCCCAGAGGTGTCCACAGCCCCAAACCTCTGACCCTAGTGGGAGGACTTGTCCACCACTGAGCCAGCCACCTCCAAGCCAAGGGCTACTGCCCACTCCCCTTCAATCCCAGACTAAGTCAGGCCCTGGTGTGAGGCCCCTCAGGGTCAGTGGATGGGAGTTCCCTGGCCAGAGGGGGGGGGGGCTCCACACAGAACAATGGGCTCACTCAGTCATTCAACAAACATTCCCTAAGATGGCTCACTCTGACGCATCCAGGCCAGATGCTGATCCTCTGCAGCCACAGTGTGTGTGCAGAGGGGCCGGGGCTGATGTGAGGCCCAGGGTGGCCCGTGCCTTACAGGGTTCCTCTGGGAGAGCGGAGCTGAGACAGTGGGTCCAGGAGGCAGCTATGACAGCACACAGCAGTGGCCGCTCACCATGGACCGAGCATGAAGCCCTGCAGTCAGCTAGGGTGGGCACAGGAGGGCCAGGACGAGGGAGGGAAGAAGGGAGGCCCAGGAGACGTGCACCCAAGATGCCTACGCAGCCTACAGAAGTCTGGAAGGTGCAGGGAAGGCGGCCGTGTGGGCGCCATGGACAGGGACCATGGATGTGGGCAAAGCCTGAGCAAACCCAGGGTCCCAACAAAAACGCCACAAATATCAGCTCTCCAAAATCCTAGGAAGGACTCCAACAGTGAAACATGCGAGGGACCAAAGGACATGGAAGCAACCCACCCCATTCTAGGAAAATATTCAGGTTCACTAGTAATTAAAAGGAATGCACTATTCACCCTGGCCGGTGTTGCTCAGTGGGTAGAGGGTCGGCCTGTGCACCGGAGGGTCACGGGTTTGACGCCGGGTCAAGGGCATGTACCTGGGTTGGAGGTTTGACCCTCCCCTCCGGTAGGGGTGGGATGCAACTGATCGATATGTCTCTCCCACAGGGATGTTTCTCTCTCTCCCTCCTTCCTTCCTCCCTCCATTCCACTCTCTCTCTCAAAAAAAAAAAAAAAAAAAAA